TCACGCCACAGAGCTTCTGTATGGCATCTGGTACTTCTTTGTGATCTAGCACCTTGATACTCACAAGAGTTTGCTGAGATGCAGAATCTATGACAAAGTTGCACCTTTGGCCATCCAGCTTCCCTGTCGTGTAGTCACTATGTGAGCTTGGCATTTTACACTTAGCTGTTGGGACTATCACGATGGGGTTTGGTGGGCGACCCTCAGCACCAACCACTTCTGGCTTCCCCGAGGCTGACTTATTGGTTGTATTCTTCTTGCACTGGCTCCTCATATGTCCTTGCTCCCCACAGTTCCAACAACCTTTCTGGGTAGCAGCCTTTCCTGCCATGGCATCCTCCTTGTGTTGAAGTCGCCAGCATTGAGATCTCTTGTGCCCCGGTTTTTTACAGTACCAGCAAAATCCCTCAAACCTCCCTGAAAGCTGACCTTTTCTGGCTTTCAATCCTGATGACTGTATCAACCTTCGTACCTCTGTGCTGGACTTAACATAGGATTCTAATTCAAGAGCTTTGGCCATTGCATCTTGCATAGTAGAGGGTGTGCTTGCTTTACTTGTATCTTCAGTTGTGGACTGTCCAAGGCGTCTTCAAACTGATTCCTTAGAAACATCTTGAGGACATTGGGTGGTGCAGTTGGGTAGGCCTTGTGTGTCATACTTTCCAAATCCTGTGCCAGCTCTTGCAGGCTCTCCCTTTTAGCATGGACTCTAGTCCTAAACCTAGCCCTGTAGACTTCGGACTGATTTTGAGTTCCATACCTGAGTTCTAGAGCACCTGCTCTATAGTTGTGCCTGCCGTCTGCTGACAACTGTCCAAGTATTTCCAGTGGCTGACCCTTCAGGCTCGTTGCCAAATGCACTGCTTTCTACTCCTCTATCCATCCATTCATTTCTGTCTAGAGCTGAGATTGTGCTCTATATGCTTCCCATAGTGCCTTCCCATTGAATTCCCGTGACTTCCTTCGTACTAGATCACCTCTATTGCTGACACTCATGTCTGAAATGTGACTTCTGACAAGACTGAAGATGTCTGCATTAGGATTTAGCTGTGGGGACTGGAAGGGGCTTTCCGTTGTCT